AATAATTTCGATTAATTTTTCATGTATAAATAAGTTAAGAGAGTTAAGAAGAGTATAGGTATAAAATGAGAGCCAGGGTCAGTGGGGTCATGCATTGCTAAGCAAGAAGGTTAAATGTCATTATTTACTGCTTTACTAAACAGTAACAAGCCACAGATTTTTAGAAATAATACACATTTTAAAAAAACAAAAAAAGAATCAGTAAAACAATTAATTGACAATGACTAAGAAGAAGTACCTCCTGAAAGAATGTGCTTGTGTTTGTTAATTAAAATGAATGACACCGGATTTTGGGTGCCAATATTTATACCCACAGAAAATCAGCATTTAGTAACATATTAACTTAAATTTGTCATGCTGAAGTAAGCATCTGATGCATTTAACGATCAGGCTATGTAGAGTTATGTCGCGTAGCCTTATGAGCGCTGCGTTTAAGTGGAATGTTACTGCTGTATTTAACGCTAATAAATGGGAGGAAGAAGTAAAGCGAACAGAGCGGAGGTATGAAACAGGGTGAGCGGGGTGACGCAGTGCTAAGCAGCGAGGAGAACATGAACCTGAATCACCATGGTGCTCTAGAGCAGCGCTCAGGCATCCCGCAGACGCAGAACCTGCACTACCATGTTCCAGCTGAGGAGACCACTAACGAGCTTCATCAATCGCAATTTAAAAAAAAAAAAAAAAAAAAAAACGTTTCAGTGTGTAAATGGTTCATGTGTGCAAATTATCAAATTACCAGTTACGTCTACAAGTTCAGTGAAGGTACAAAATTGCTCTTAATTTTAAATACATTCCAAGTTGAAAAAACGTAATAAAAATAAATGACATGTACTCACTAATCCGTTAATCCCTTAATCCAGTCAATTAACTCCTACAGAATACAATGGACTAGAGCTTAGAGTCTGTTATAGCGCATTATAATCATTTATACCACAGCGCTGTTGAATTCTGGATCCTGATTGGTCAGAAGGTGTTGATTAATTTTCTTTAACAGCAGCTCTGACAGCAGCGCAGGTTTTTATTAATGTGCTTGTTCTATTATGCTATCGTTTCTAGAGAAACGGCTTAAATGGCTTCAACATGTTATTTAAAAAAAAAAAAAAAAAAAAAAAGCATGTCTAGTTGTTGTGAAGTTTTCCATCAGGAGATGTGAGGCTTATGAGGCAAAAATGTAGATGAGAACAGTAACTAACTTTTTAAATAAATGATCCTCAGCTAATGGTTCTGTATGGAACCAAATGCGGTTGCAAAAATTTGATACTTTTGAAGAACTTTTGTTTGGCACTTTGTTTAGAGTGTGATTTTATTCCCCTCCTACAGAAACTGATTTGTGAGTCAAAGTCAGCTCGCGCCGAAAAAAGCACCTCATCGCAACAAGAGGAAAACATGCCATATGACATGCCATTGCTTGTAGCCATGGAGACGAGAGGAGCAGAGGAGCACCCTGGGTAAGCAGCAGGAGTGTGAAGAGAACACCTCAGACTGCTACAGGTGCTGGAGTTTCATTTAAATTCTCCACAGAACACCCAGACCTGCGTTTGCGTGTTAATGAAACAGGAAATCCGACCTGTGAGTTTGGGAATGATTTCCCTCAGCTCGATAACACCACGAGCTGATTTTACTCACAAGCTCTGTGGAGGATTGTGTCTTTTACACGAGCAAAATAACACAGCTATCATTTTGAATGCGTATGCAATTTGAGGCATTTCTACCTAAGTGTAAAATAGAGGGCGGAGCCAATGCAAATAGACTAATTTAGAACCTGCAGTGAGATTTACTGTAGTCACTTTGGAGACTTACATATGGCAGACCCACCACATAATCAGATTTAAAAAAAAAAAACGTGTGTAAATGCACTTACAGTCTGTAAACGTGAATTATAATCATTTATAGCACAGTGCTGTTGAGTTCTGGGCTCTGATTGGTCAGAAGCAGCCCTGAGAGTAGTGCAGGTTTATGTTAATGCACTCATTCTACTACCTTATCATTTCTATATCAACAGCTCAAATGGATTCAGCATTTTATTTAACACAAAAGTATGTACAATCGTCGATGTGGTGAAGCTTTCTGTGAGGAGAAATGTGTTTATGGAAGGAGTCTCCAGTGTCAGAGCTTTGTAACAGTCAGATGTAAAGCTGCAATTTGAAGTTTTCCGACATCTTCAGGACAGTTTACGCTTTGCGGTTTCTCTGTAACATGAAAAGCTGTGTTTTTCAGTATTTTTTGTCATTTTTGTATTTTTAGTCGGTAATATCCTAAAACTCATCATTTTTGCTTTATGTCAGACTTAGATTCAGATGTCAGTAGTTAGATTCAGTTTGACCCCTCGACTGTGACTGCATATTTAATTTTGTTTGATTACTTTCAGATTCTGGTGTATATCTACTCTCTTTCCATGCCGGTAAACTCCTTAACTTAATTCACAAAACTATAGGAGCATAAACAAGCTCCAGTTAGTCCAGAATACAGCAGAGTTCATAAACCAGTAACTTTGATCACCCCTACCTTATCTACACTGCATTGGCTCCCAGTAAAATACTGCATTGATTATAAAATACTATTAATGACCTGGAAAGCACTGAATGGTCTCATCCCATGATACCCGAGTGACCTTGTGGACTCTCATGATCCACCATGCCTTCTTCAAATCAAAGGTGCAGGATCTTTATGAGTACCTACAATAATGAAGGCTACAGCAAGGGGCAGAGCTTTTTTCTAAAAGCTCCCCAGCTATGGAACAGCCTTCCAATTAGAGTTCAGGACACTTTAAGTCTCTTTAAATATATTTGTTTAGTTAAGCTTTTTTGTTAAGTAGCTAGATTTGGCTAGATTGCACCAACTAAAAACAGTTATGCCCAAAAAATGTAACTCGTAGCAAAAGAAAATTGTGTTTGATTTCGTTGCTTTGGAAATGCTGTACTCTTGCCGGATTCACTCACATTTCACTTTTAGCATCATAAGAATTTTAATATTTCTAGATGACATGTAACATTGACGTACATTTTCATTTTTGCCCCACCCTAAAGCACTGGGGGGCACAAACCTTTGCATAAGGAAACTTTTAATAAGGATACGATTATAGTTATGATGTGTGAAAGTTTGGCTATGTCAGAGCTGTGTATTGCTCCAGAATCATGCTGCATGCATGTCGAACTTTAAATGTCACTGTTCAAAAGGGCAAATGGTGTTTTATTACTTGGCATTGTCAAAACCCGGGCCTGATATATTGAGAATTCTGCGACTGAGTCAGCTTCTTAATTACAGTTGACATGACCTATTTAATCCCATTCTAA